TAGTATCCACTTAATGACTGCTGTCTGTTTAAAGAGTGGTTCAAATAAGCCTTAGTAATCACTGCTCACACGGGATTAACTACATATTCCATGGATAATAATAATAAACAAGTGAAAAGGGTGCTGAAAATTAATGATGAAATAAATAAATAAACAGATAGATAGGTGCAAAAATGCAGTACCTTAACGTGCACTTGCTCAAAAACACACTATACTTAATAAATTGAAAAATTAAGGTGTGCTATGCCTTTAAGGCAAAATTCTATATAACACACAGATAGAGTAAAGTTGTAATATACAATATACAACCTCACCCTAGTAAAGTGACATATATCATGTGCAAAAAATGCTGAATGTGCAAGGTATATCAAAGTGCACTAAACAAGTACAAAAAAACTTTGTGTGAAGTAGTGTATATAAAACCAAAATACAATGATAACTTACACTAAAAATATAATGTGGTGTAGTTAATACTCCATATGATGGAACATAAGGGAAAGAGAAAAGTATATAGGGTAATATTGTAAGACAAAACAGATAAAACCAAGTGAAGATTGAAATGCAACTCACAAACAGAGAGCAGAGAAGTCTGCTCTGACTGTAAACACTCAAATCTCAGGTAGAACTCCTTTGTAGCCAATATAGGTAAATAGACAAAAGTCTACATGGGAAAGCATTGGATTGGCTGAGCTTGACGAGGAGGCAGATCAGGGACAGAGCCAGCACAAGTCAATCACAGCCCTGGCCAATCAGCATCTACTCATAGAAATGCATTGAATCATTGCATCTCTATGAGAAAAGTTCAGTGTCTCCATGCAAAGGGTGGAGACACTGAATGTTAGTGCTGCACACTGTTCAGCACTGCCCGAGGAAGCACCTCTAGTAGCCATCTGAGGAGTGGCCAGTGAAGTTATCACTAGGCTGTAATGTAAACATTGCATTTTCTCTGAAAAAAAACTGTGTTTACTGTAACAAGCCTGAAGAGGCTAATTATACTCACCAGAACAAACACAATAAGCTGTAGTTGTCCTGGTGAGTGGTGACTATAGTGTCCCTTTAACCAATCATCCCATCACATGACAGGTGCATGGCCGCCATATTGGAAGGTGGAGATTAAATTGCACCTAAACCAAAACCCCCCAATAAGACATCAACACTCTTAATGTATGGGTTAATATGTCCACAGCTGTAATGGCTTATAGCATCAAAACAAACATAGTAAAGTTATTGCCCACCCCAACCCTCAACCAAACATTAAAACATCTCCCACATGTCAATAATAATAGGCAATGACCTGCAACATCAAACTACCAAGAAAACCAGAAGTTATGCTGCTCCATCTTGGATGGCCTAATGTAAATAAATTAGTTCTAATAGTGATTGTTCATGCTGAACCGAGGGAGGGACAAACTCAGTTTGAGGAGTTAAGTAGTAATGACAGAATTCTAAAATGGCTGGTCTATATATACCAGCCCTGCCCCCAAACAATTGGTCCCCAGTTACCACTAAGGTCCGACTACGCCCGGCTCCAAGCCATGTCAAGGCCCGTTTTCCCTAAGCTGCGCTTGTTCCATGAGGCTACATGACTGCAGGTATGCTCTTGTCACACAGTACCAACCCTGGAGATCTGTCGGCATATTCCTGGGATATGTTGCACCATTCACAAGAGTGACATAAAGAGGTTGCAGGAGAACCAAGGCTTTTTAGGAGTTTTCCTCAATTTATCCACCTATCGTGCACTGACGTCCTGAGTACTGAAATATGATGACCAGTTTCAGAATAGGAAGTCTATTAGCCTATTCACAAGAAGTCAGGGAGAAAATAAAACATGAGATATAAATACATGTTGGTAGTATTTGAAGAGTCAGTGAATGTAATTAACTCTCCTGAATATAGATCGGAATTATTGAAGACAGTGCATACGAAGATTAATTAGGAGAAAAATGTATATATATATATATATATACATATTTATATATTTATATTTATTTTAAAATTCTTTATTTTTACTGTGCAGATAAACAAATTTAAGCTTGAGTAGCCACAACAGCTTTGACATATATTGCATCAACTCACAAGAAAGAACCTCGCCATGGCGTGATATAGTTGCACTTTTTTAACATCAACTTGCACGATAGTATGTCATAATATCTTTACAGAGTTTGCAGTGTCATCGTGTGCTGAGACATTTGCCTTCAATGTAATATATAGTATCTCCATAAATTATCTTAGTTCAATCTTTACATTAAAGTTATATTTTTTTAGGTGCACTTTTCGCCACTCCTCCTAAACTTAGCGGAAATATGGATAAATGAATGTAAAGGGATTTTTAATATAATTGATTGAGAAAAGACTCATGATAATATTAAATGTATGCTTACTAATGCAAGGAGCCTATATAACATAATGGGGGAACTAGAGGCAATAGCATACACTAAACAATATGATATAATAGGCATAACAGAAACATGGTGGGATGAGACACATGACTGGGCAGTTAATTTAAATGGGTACACGTTATTTAGGAAGGATAGGAAAAACAAGAAGGGTGGTGGGGTATGTTTATATGTCAACCATGAGTTAAAGTCAAATCTTAGGCATGTGGAGTGTGACGAGGAAAATGTGGAGTCTTTATGGGTAGATGTCTGCTTGGGGCAAACAAAGGGAAATCAATTATTGGTTGGGATATGTTCGAAACCACCTAATGTAAATATTATTGAGGAAGAACAGCTGTTAGAGCAAATTGAGAAAGCTGTAAATCGAGTTAACACGTTAATTATTGGAGATTTTAATTACCTAGACATAAATTGGGATAGAGGGACTAGTACTTCAGCAAGGGGAATCAGGTTTTTGAATGTGTTAAATGACACCTTTATGTCACAACTGGTACAAGCACCTACTAGAAAGGATGCTTGTCTGGATCTCGTTATAACAAACAATGTTGATCTTTTAACCAACATTCAAGTAGGGGAGCATTTGGGGAATAGTGATCACAAAAGCAGGTGGGGTATACTAAAACATATAATTTAAAAAAAAGCCAAGTTCAATAATATTAGGGCAGCTCTACAACATATCGACTGGCATAAACTCCTTAGTGATAAAAACACTGAGGATTAATGGAAACTATTCAAACAAATATTAGAAAGGTACATTTCTCAGTATGTACCATTGGGTAATAAATATAAAAGAAACAAATTAAAACCAATGTGGCTTAGTAGAGAAGTAAAACAAGAGATTAAAAATAAGAAAAGGGCATTTAAAGCATTTAAATCAGACAAATCAAAGGCATCCTATTTAAGATGTAAGGAAGCCAATAACGCTTGCAAAAAAGCAATTAAAGTGGATAAACTAGAAAATGAGACATTGATAGCTAAAGAATGCAAAACCAACCCCAAAATTTTTTCAAGTACATCAATTCTAAAAAAACAAAAAATGAAAGTGTAGGTACACTGGAAACAGAGTTGGGTTTATTAGCTAATGAAGACCAGGAAAAAGCAGACATTTTAAATAACTATTTTTCTTCAGTATATATTAATGAGGATCCTATAGTAAGAGATATGCAAATGATTGCTGCAAAAAACTTGCAGATAACTTGTGATTGGATAACTAGAGACAAGGTGCTACAGGTATTAAAGAAAATTAATGTAAATAAAGCTCTGGGGGTATTCACCCACGAGTACTTAAGGAGCTAAGTGGGGAAATAAGTGAACCTCTTTATTTAATTTTTCAAGATTCTTTTGTTTCAGGTGTTGTACCCAGGCCCGGACTGGCCATCGGGCATACCGGGCAAATGCCCGGTGGGCCGCGATGGCCGTGGGCCAAGGCCGGCAGGGGAGATCACAGGATCTCCCCTGCCAGCCCCTGCAGGGCCAGCGCTATCCGAGCGCCGGCCCCGCTGTGTGCCTTCATGGGCCGGTGGGGAGATCATGCGGCCTTCATGCGGCCAGCGGGAGGGAGGAGAGGACCGGCGGAGCTCGAGCCAGCAGCTCAGCCGGGTCCTCTCGCGAGGTCTGAGCGTTGCCGCGGTTACCACAGCAACGCTCAGATCTCGCAAGAGTGAACTCTAACCTGCAGGCTAGAGTTTACTCTCACCACTGGACCACCAGGGAAGGCAGCACCTCCATGGAAACCCGGCTTCCCAGCCCCTCCTGGGCTAAAGGTAAGACGGGAGGGGGAGATACATAGTTTTTACTTTTTTTAAATAAAAAAAAACCAAAACATATTTATATAAACACTGTGCTATATACACTCACACTAATAGCACTCACACACAGCACACTCATACTAACATCACCCTCAGACACACACACACACACACACAGCACCCTCAGACACACACACAGCACCCTCAGACACACACACACACACACACACAGCACCCTCAGACACACACACACACACACACACACACACACACACACACACAGCATCCTCAGACACACACACACACACACAGCACCCTCAGACACACACACACACAGCACCACTTAGTACACACACACACACACACACACACACAGCACCCTCAGACACACACACACACACACACACACACAGCATCCTCAGACACACATCACCCTCAGACACACACACACACACAGCACCCTCAATCACACACAGCATCTTCACTCACACAGGACCCTCAGACACACACAGCACATTCACTCACACAGCACCCTTGCACACACACAGCACCCTCAGACACACACACACACAGCACCCTCAGACACACACAGCACCTTCACTCACACAGCACCCTCAGACACACACATCACCTTCACTCACACAACACACTCACACACAGCACACTCACACATATACAACACACACACGTATGTATAATATATAAAATAACCCTCAGTAAGTTAACAGACAAAAAAAATTAGAAACATAGAATGTGACAGTAGATAAGAACACCCTCACACACACAGCACCCCTCTTACACACACTGCAATCCTCACACACATGCTGCACCCTTCACACATACACACAGCACACACAACACACTGCGCCCTTCACACATACAATACGTCCAAATATATATATATATATATATTTATAAAACAAGAGGGGTATTGTGTATTATATATATATTTATATATGTATTTGTTTGGACGTATTGTATGTATGAAGGGCGCAGTGTGTTGGGTGTGCTGTGTGTATGTGTGAAGGGTGCAGCATGCATAATATTATTATTATTATTGCCATTTATATAGCACCAACAGATTCCGTAGCGCTTTACAATATTATATACTACAGCACCACTACACACATTACGCTCCAGATACACACTAGATCCCTCACCCTATATACACTCTGAATCCTCTATACACACACACACACACACACAAACACACACACACAATCTCCTATACACACTCTGGGTCCTTTACACACAAGATCCCCTGCACACACTACATTCCTGACATACAAACTCTGGATCCCCTATGCACACACTACATTCCTTGTAAGCAAACACATACTACATTCCCTAAGCACACACTCTCTACAACCCCTACACACACTACAGCCCATATGCACACACTCACTACATCCCGTATACACACTATGCCCCCTATAAACACTCGCTACAGCCCCTAGCCACACATATTACACCACAAACACGAATTAAATTGACCTATTTACACAACACCACACCACAATCGTCTCACTCTACACACACACAATCCCACAAGCAGGCTCCAAACACATGCACCATACGCTTTTCTGGCCCTTTTGTCCTCTGGTATCCTACTTATGGAGACACCAGAGACAATTTAAAAGCAAACACAGCGCAAGCACATTATTACATTTGCTTGTGCTGCCCAGAACAAATACAGGGCCTTTTTCCAATGCTAGAGCTCTTCAGCAGGGCTCTGTGCATTGAACCAACATGCTCACTTTGATTAGTGATGACAAAACACAACCTCTCTGGCTGTGATTGAAAAATGCCCGGGCCTAATTTTGTTCCCAGTCCGGCCCTGGTTGTACCGGAGGATTGGAGGAAGGCAGATGTTGTTTAAAAAGGTTTCAAAATCCTTGCCTGGAAATTATAGACCTGTGAGCTTAACTTCTGTAACTGGGAAAATATTTGAAGGGCTATTAAGGGATAATATTCAAGAATTCATTGGGAAGAACTTTTTTATTAGCAATAATCAGCATGGTTTTATGAAACATAGGTCATGTCAAACTAACCTAATTGCATTCTACGAAGAAGTAAGTAAAAGTATAGATCAGGGTGTTGCAGTGGATGTGATCTACTTGGATTTTGCCAAGGCATTTGATACAGTTCCTCACAATAGGTTAGTCTTCAAACTAAAAGAAATTGGTCTAGATGAATATTTTTGTTCTTGGGTAGAACATTGGCTTAAGGATAGAGTACAACGAGTTGTCATTAATGGTAAATTTTCAGGCTGGACAAAAGTGGTAAGTGGTGTCCCTCAGGGTTCTGTTTTGGGGCCACTTCTATTTAACATATTTATAAATGATCTTGAAATAGGCATTGCAAGCCATGTATCAGTGTTTGCAGATGACACAAAACTTTGTAAAGTAATAAAATGTGAGCAGGATATTGCTTTGCTGCAGAGGGATTTGGATAGATTGGGGGACTGGGCATTAAAATGGCAGATGAAATTTAATGTAGAGAAATGCAAAGTTATGCACTTCGGGGTTAAGAATGCACAAGCAACTTACACACTAAATGGTAGTGAATTAGGGATAACAACACACGAGAAGGATTTGGGAATTGTTATAGACAACAAATTAGGCAGCAATATGCAATGTCAATCTGCAGTTGCTAAGGCCAGTAAGGTTTTGTCATGTATAAATTGGGACATAAATTCTCGTGATGAAAATATAATTTTGCCTCTTTATAAATCGCTGGTAAGACCACACCTTGAATATGCTGTGCAATTTTGGGTGCCTGTTCTAAAGTAAGATATCATGGCACTAAAAAAAGTCCAGAGACGAGCTACAAAATTGATAAAAGGAATGGAGCATTTTAGTTATGAAGAAAGGTTAAAAAAATTAAATCTGTTTAGTTTGGAAAAACGGCACCTGAGAGGGTATATGATAACTTTATACAAATATATTCGGGGCCAGTACAAACCTTTATCTGGAAATCTATTCATAAACAGGGCTATACATGGGACACATGGTCACACATTTAGGCTGGAAGAAAGGAGATTTTATCTAAGGCAAGGAAAAGGTTTTTTTTTTATAGTAAGAGCAATAAGAATATGGATTTCTCTGCCTGAAGAGGTGGTTTTGTCAGAGTCATTACAGATGTTTAAACTGCAATTGGATAAATACTTACAAAAACATAACATACAGGGATATAATTTCTAATTAGTGGGGTAATAGCTGCTTGATCCAAGGAGACATCTGACTGCTATTTTGGGGTTAAGAAGGAATTTTTTCCTAGTTTGTGGCAAAATTGGAAGTGCTTCAGACTAGTTTTTTTGCCTTCTTTTGGATCAACAGCAAAAACATAAGTGAGGAAGGCTGAACCTGATGGACGCAAGTCTCTTTTCAGCTATGTAACTATGTAATTAGAAATAAGAAAAATAAGAAATATTTACTGAGATTAGAAATGAAAAGTAGGGAATGGGTAATGTATATGTATTTTTTTTTACATACTATAATTATTTATATAATTAAAGCATATTCTCACAGATATAAATCAGAGGTTTATTTATACAAATACCATTCAGGTTTCTGGATTACTGACACGGCAAGGGAGACACAATGGCCACAAAGTGATTTATTTTCAGGATCACTACAGATAATTCATATGTAGTGCTGGATTATATATTTGTATGTAAGTAGAAGGTTACGACTCTAATAGGGAAGGAGAGGAGACAGGACGTATAATACATTTATACTAACGTGACATTTTACATTTAAGAAATGAAGGACATTTGGAAACATGACTCACGTGATGTAAAGAGGTAAACTGGAGCCATAAAACGAGATGAGAAATGAGGAAACTCTACGTTTAAAAAATTAGTACATTGTTTAATGGGTGATCCAGAGTTCACATATAAGATTAAAATACACTTAAAGCCAGAGCAACCAATGGAATTGTGCCATTCAATTTCCCCTTCCTTACAAGGTTAGGCTGCTATCATGCCGGATTATAATGCTAAATCAGGAGGTGCTACATCAGGGGATGCAGTCAGCCGCTCTGTCTGTAACCTCATGATCAATCAAATGGTTCGTTTTATGCCTGAAGAGTACTTATTACTGCTTACTGAGTACTTATTACTTAGTACATCATTACTGCTTACTGAGTACTTATTACTGCTTACTGAGTACTTATTACTTAGTACATCATTACTGCTTACTGAGTACTTATTATTACTGCTTACTGAGTACTTATAACTTAGTACATCATTACTGCTTACTGAGTACTTATTACTGCTTACTGGGTACTTATTACTTAGGGTGTCATTACTGCTTACTGAGTACTTATTACTTAGTACGTCATTACTGCTTACTGAGTACTTATTACTGCTTAATGAGTACTTTTTACTTAGTACGTCATTACTGCTTACAGAGTACTTATTACAGCATATTGAGTACTTATTACTGCTTACTGAGTACTTATTATTTAGTACATCATTACTGCTTATTGAGTACATATTACTGCTTACTGAGTACTTATTATTTAGTACATCATTACTGCTTATTGAGTACTTATTACTGCTTACTGAGTACTTATTATTTAGTACATCATTACTGCTTATTGAGTACTTATTACTGCTTACTGAGTACTTATTATTTAGTACATCATTACTGCTTATTGAGTACTTATTACTGCTTACTGGGTACTTATTACTTAGTACGTCATTAATGCTTACAGAGTACTTATTACTGCTTACTGAGTACATATTACTGCTTACTGAGTACTTATTATTTAGTACATCATTACTGCTTACTGAGTACTTATTACTGCTTACTGAGTACTTATTACTTAGTATGTCATTACTGCTTACTGAATACTTATCACTGCTGAGTACTTATTACTGCTTACTGAATACTTATTACTGCTTACTGAGTACATATTACTGCTTACTGAGTACTTATTACTTAGTACATCATTACTGCTTACTGAGTACTTATTACTGCTTACTGAGTACTTATTACTTAGTATGTCATTACTGCTTACTGAATACTTATCACTGCTGAGTACTTATTACTGCTTACTGAATACTTATTACTGCTTACTGAGTACATATTACTGCTTACTGAGTACTTATTACTTAGTACATCATTACTGCTTACTGAGTACTTATTACTGCTTACTGAGTACTTATTACTTAGTATGTCATTACTGCTTACTGAATACTTATCACTGCTGAGTACTTATTACTGCTTACAGAAAACTTATTACTGCTTATTGAATATGTATTACTTAGTACGTCATTACTGCTTACTGAATACTTATTACTGCTTATTGAATATGTATTACTTAGTACGTCATTACTGCTTACTGAGTACTTATTACTTAGTACGTCATTACTGCTTACTGAGTACTTATTACTTAGTACGTCATTACTGCTTACTGAGTACTTATTACAGCTTATTGAGTACTTATCACTTAGTACGTCATTACTGCTTACTGAGTACTTATTACTGAGTACTTATTACTTAGTACGTCATTACAGCTTTCTAAGTACTTATTACAGCTTACTGAGTACTTATTATAGCTTACTGAATATTTATGATTGCTTACTGAATACTTATTACTTAGTACGTCATTACAGCTTACTGAGTACTTATTACTGCTTACTGAGTACTTATTACTGCTTGCTGAATACTTATTACTGCTACTGAGTACTTATTACTGCTTACTGAGTACTTATTACTGCTTGCTGAATACTTATTACTGCTACTGAGTACTTATTACTGCTTACTGAGTACTTGTGACTGCTTGCTGAATACTTATTACTGCATACTGAGTAGTTATGACTGCTTACTGAGTTCTTATTACAGCTTACTGAGTACTTATTACTGCTTACTAAGCAATAATGACTGCTGACTGAGTATGTCATTACTTCATTACTGCTCACAATGCCTCTGTTTTTCGTGTGAGCAGTTCACATTACAAATAAAATGTTAGCAGTTTTTATTTTGGACACTGCT